CCTAATAAATAGTGGGTTTTGTCATGCCTCGTGGCTTTTCTCACATGGTAACAGCACTGCTTAACACCACCGCATAAAACCAACACTATGTGCTTTAAAACAGCTAAAAAGTAGAGTATTTCTCATAGGGATTATTGCTACACATTTCAACCGCTTTTTGGTTTTATTTAACTCTCTAAAAAGTATAAACTTTATCTCAAGATTTGCAAGACTACTGTGTAAACTTCCCGTAACTCAAGATTTTTAAGTTTGTTGAGAAAGTTTTTAAAAATCTGTAAAATCTGTAACAAAAAGTTACCTTAAAACCTGTAACCAAAGTGTTAAAAGTTAAAAATCTATACATAGGTAATCTTAAAGGGATATGTGCCTAATGGGCACACCTTGGAGTAAAGAGCAACCATGTGGCTTGCTGCAATTTTGGCTGATGACCCCATCAGGATGGAAGCAATCATGTGGCTGGCAACCATCTTTACTAAGGTTAAAGTGAGGACATGCCTTGTGACTTCACCATCTTAATTAAGATGACCATCTAGTATAAACTAATTAAGGCAGTGCCCATAAAATTTCTTAGTCCTATTGAGCCCTCTGCTTATCATTGAATCTCCTTTTTAAAATAAGGAGGAAACAATATGTCTCCAAGATATTTTGGATTAGGATGGATTTCTGTATGATAATTTTTGTCCTGGGAGTAAAAATTTTAAATTAAAAAAATATGTTTAATAAGGTATACTTACTTAAGGTTTATAAATTCTTAAGGTTATAAAGGTCTACTCAGGTTAACATAAATTGACTTAGAGATGAACTTTACCCTCTGTACCTAGTCTATATCTGTCCCTCATTTCCAACCAACTGAAGACTGCAAACTGCTTCAACCATGCCAACCTCAGGTGGTCCTTGAGAACCAGGGAGCCCTAGACTTGCTGAAAGCTGATGTAAACCAGCACTCCAGACTGCTCCAAAGCTGCCTGCACTTCTCTAGCCTTAGGTGGCCCAGCAAAACCTGAGCAGTGAAACTGAAGAACCAAAGCTCCTCCATTTTTAAAATAAGGCCTAAATGTTCTTCATCTTAGGTATATGGTCTTGAGTTACTGGAACCAGTTGACCCAGATTCCAGGAATTAGAAAGTGCAATGTACAGAGTATCCCAACCCTAGTCTCCATGGTGATTGCTTAACCACAGAAATGTCCCCACCTGAGGGCAGCCAATGAGGAATGGTGACAGGCACCCCCCCCCAGATGTAAGATAAAGATAAGGTTTCTGGAAAGTCCCTAGAAGCGAGCCAATCAGAATTGCACTCATACTAGCATCCCTAACTGATGTAACCTTGTGGTTTTTGCCTTTAAAAAGTGAGCTTGCAGAGGGGCGGGCACCTCCTCCAGCCTCCACTGTGTTAGAAGGCTTGATGGGGTCCATGCCTAGACTTGAATTGCTCCCCAATAAAAACTTGCTTTTGCATTCTGGTAAGCTCATCTTTGGTGGTCTCTCTGGAGGTCGTGATCTAGGCACAACAAAACAGATGTATCCTGCTCCTTTTGAATGGCAGTCCCACCTTCCTGGGTCCTGACAATGACTTTCTAGTTGAGAAGCAGGTATAGAAGAGAGTACATTGCCCCTTTGTCAAAAAAGCCTGGCATGTCTAAAGTTTAAAGTTCCTTGTAGTAGTACTTTTTTGTAGGACTGCCAGTCTACAAATAATGACACAGAGACTTATCAATTATGAAAGTTTGACCTTTAGCTTAGGCTTCTCTCGACTAGCTCTTATAAGTTAAATTAGCCCGTTTATATTATTCTACGTTCTGCCATGTGGTGCTACCTCTCTTCCATCTTGCACCTGTTTCCTCTCTTTGTCTCACTGGTGACTCTCTCTTCTTCTTCCCAGAGTTCTCTCCCCAGAAGTCCCACCTTTTACCTCCTGCCTAGCTATTGATGGTTCAGCTTATGACACCAATCACAGCAATACATCTTCACATAGTGTACAAATAGCCCACACAGTTCCCCTCTACCAAAATGAGTTGCTTCCCTTCTCCCAGGCAAAAGGGACAAATGGTTACCTCTGGTGCCTATTGACATACCAGGGCCCATGCTGGTTTCCAAACTCCCTCAGTATCTCAAATAACTGTTTAAAAAAAAAAGCAAAAGGGATACTCAAGATGTGGGGCTGGGATCTGATTGAATTGCTTACTCCATGGTTATCAAATTTTACCTGGATAAAGCTGATATTTATTTCCCCTGTCTTGCTGCTTTCTTTATATATCCTAATGCTAATTTGTGAATATCAGTGTCAAACACTATAAATATCAGGGATCTTAAAACTATATTCCTCAGATACAATGTATTCTCCAAGAGTAGTGGTTCTCAACACCTTGGTCGCAACCCCTTTGGGGGATGAATGATCCTTTCACAAGGATTACCTAAAACCACCAGAAAACACACATATTTACATTACAACTCATAACAGTAGCAAATTACAGTAATGAAGTAGCAATAAAAACAATTTTATGGTTGGGGGTCACCACAACATGAGGAACTGTATTAAAGGGTTGGAGTATTAGGAAGGTTGCGAACCACTGTCCTAGAGCTGGTGGGGAATGTAATGGACTACTAACCCATAATTATGCCATCTTATAAAAAAAATCAATTGTTAAAACATTAGCCCTATAGGCTTGGTATCAACCTGAACCATATGAATCAATGATTCATGTGATCTAGAGCCAGTGGGGAATGTGATGACTAAGGAAACTACATTCTGTACCAGGTACCCTCTATAGTAGCCACTAGCCTCTCCCCAAAATTCCTGAAAGATGAGCTTCTAATACCCCCCACCCTCCCCAGAATGGTATAACTACTGTGAGATAATTAATCACTTGCTCTGCCTTCTGTAAAACCTACTCAACACTGTATATAGGGGAGAAAGTTTCTCAGGTAGCTGAGGGGAGTGAAGCCATTTCTCACGGAGCTACAAATTCCATAGTAAAGATAACTGTGGTGTCCACCTTTAAAAACCCTTTCCTTAGACCCTTCTGGGCAGCACATATTCGATTTGGTTTTATGGTTGACTCTCACTCTACTACTAGGTTTTTTGTTTTTTGTTTTGGTTTTTCGAGACAGGGTTTCTGCGTGTAGCTTTGCACCTTTCCTGGAACTCACTCTGTAGGCCAGGCTGTCCTGGAACTCACAGAGATCCACCTGGCTCTGCTTCCCAAGTGCTGGGACTAAAGGCGTGCGCCACCACCGCCCGGCTACTACCAGTTTTTAATAAATTCAAATAATTATAATTTGAATAGAGTCTGTGCCCCTCCCCCCAGTGGTCTTGAACTCCATAACACCCACCACATGCAAAGCACTATACAGTTTTTATATAACCAAAATGAAATCCAAAATCCCAAACATTCACCAAATAGGTAATTTGTCGGTGTCCACATGATACATCGAAATAACTTAGCTCATGGGATAGGTCACAATCAAAATGCAGGCACAAAAGTTTATGAAGCAACCCCAAGAGAAACTCCCCAGCCTCCTAACTGCAGTATTAAAAGGTATTATATAAAATTACCATTTCTGTTAGGCTACATGTAGACAATGTAAGTGAAAGATAAGTGAATTTTGTGTTTAGACTTTCTGTCTTAGACTGCACAAAGGAGGAAGCTAGCTGATCGGAGCATTCATCTTTCTTCCTGACTACAGATGTGATGTAACCAGTAGCTTCATGCTCCTGCAGCCTTGACTTTCCCACTATGATGGATTATAGTATAATGATTCTCAACCTTCCTAATGCTGCAACTCTTTAATACAGTTCCTCATGTTGTGGTGACCCCCAACCATAAAATCATTTTAGTTATTACTTCATAACTGTAATTTTGCTACTGTTATGAATCACAATATAAATATCTGATATACAGGATTACATTGCAAAGGGGTTGTGACCCACAGGTTGAGAACCACTGGATATTCTTGACCTCTGAGCCAAAATAACCTTTCCATCCTTAAGTTGCTTTTATCTGGTTATTTTGTCACAGGAACAGGAAAAATAAAAACAAAACAAAACAAAAAACCTAAGACAGGAAATATTCCAAAACACAAAATACGAAATACTTCAGACCCCAATGGTTCAGATAAGAAAAACTTAGCCAGTACCATATGTCACACAAGCTAAGCAACTGATTAACACAGTTGCTTCAGGTAACGGTCAACCTAGAGGGAGAAACAGCATAGCCTGAAGGAGAGAGAGAACAGTATGACAGAGTACAAGTTAATAACATATTTCCATACAAATATTTTCAAACATGTCTCAAGAGATTTAGAAATGTACAACAGAAGTGTTACCTTCTGTTGGCTGGCTTTATTTTGTTGTTTTGTTAGGTTTTTAGACACAGGGTCTCTCTATTATATATCCCTGGCTATCCCAGAATTCAACGTGTAGACTAAGCTAACTCACAGAGACCTGCCTGCCTCTGTCTACCAAGTGCTGAGATTAAAGGTCAACACCACCACACACACCTGCTGTTGTTTCTTGAGACAGAAGCTTACTATGTAGCCTAGGCTGGCCTCCAGACCCTGTGATCCTCTTGCACCAGCCTCCTGTAGGCCGGAATTATTGCAGTGTACCACCATTTCTAACTCTTGTTTTCATTTGTATATTTGGACTCTCTACTCACTGTCCTATTCAAACAGTCCCCATATTAGTATACAACTCTTCATACTGAAATATGTTAATGCCTCTAACTGAAAGCTTGAGAGCAGACAGATTGTGTTTCCCCTACTCTCCTAACATATCACCCCCAAAACAGACTATAAACATCTTCAAAATGAAAACTGAGACTGGAGTTCCCTGAAGTAGACTGCCTTGCTGCACAGGACCACCCAGGTGTGGTGCTCAGAAGCAGGGCCATGGTTCCCATGGTTCTACCAACATGACTTGACCACAATCAAGATATTAGCTTAGTCAGTTAAAAATGGAGAAAAATTCAAAACAAAGAACAAGTACTTATAAGCACAATCACTTCATATTAAGAAACTGAGTTTTATTTAGCATTCTATGAGACACTAATGAGAATAAAAGGAATTAAAAATCAATCCCACATTCAATTTTAAAGAACTTCAAGACAGTAAAAGCACACAGCTTGTAACCAATACCAGAAATATGAAACGACACATTTACAGTACAAAGAATATACTATGGGTGCTTCCTATCACAAGGAGATAGTCTGAATAGCTGCAATCTTTCCAATCTGAAGACTCCAACCTATACTCTTCTGCCGTTTTCCCCAACGCCAGCATAGAACTCTTGGCAAGACAACAATACTGAAAGTTGTTCTTGGACAAGGGGGGCTCTGAACAAGTGTGATGCTGGCCCTGAGAAACAAGTGAACTGGCCTAGTATTCAAGCAACATAATGCTGCCAATGCGTGAGAGCCACACAATCAAGGAAGCAATTATATTTAAGCTATAAGTTTATGACTACACAGAAAATCACAGTTCTTCAGACAATAAATTCATATTACACCATTAAGCATTTTAAAGCAATCTGTACCTTTTGGTAAAGAGGCCAAAATTATAATTAGGATTTTTAGAAATAAAAAATGAGATGCATTTGAAGTTCATAAAATGTATCAATGACCCAAGTAATAACATACTCCCAAATTAGTTCTGTCTACACTATCAGGGATAAATAAATCAAACAAACTGCCAAACTAGAACATACAATGAAACATTTTAAAAACTGCAGACATTACAGAAGAAAAAATGTTTTAGGCATGTAGTATTTCCTTACAAAAGCCTTTAATGAAAAGATACTACATAAGCAAAGTAAGAAACAGGAGGGGAAAAAAGATTGATACACCAGAAGAGTTTAATATCATAATTATTCTATTGTTTCTAAATCATTCTACAAAGGGGTAATACAATTCTTTTGTTTACTGCAAACACATTTTTTTAAAAAGTCAGCCATAAGACAGTTTTTAATCATTGGCATTATACAGTAAAACACAAAAAACTTTTAAAATGCAACAGGGTAATATTTCATTGGACAGTACACATAACAGCTTTTTTCTGTCTCCATATATCCAATGATTATATTCATAGGCAAGTTTCTAAATAAATGTAAATTGAAAAAAACTGACAAAAGCCAAGAATACTATTGTTTACATAGCACATAGGTTGTCTTACAGCAGATTCTAGCTTGTCAAGCTTCAGGTGGCAAAAGGCTAAGCTGTTGCATTCGCAATTGTCCAGCTCATTCTGGAGATTCTGGGGCATGTGCTGTTCAGAGATCGCCCGGCTGCCACCAGTTCTCTTCTCACTGGGGGATCCACTAAGATAGAGCCTTCGAGTCCTTAAGATGCAAGGCCTAGTAAAAAGCCTCCCACAAAGCCACTGGATATCACAATGTTCTGCTTGATAAATTCTGTTGCCTAAAAATCAAAGGGTCAATAAAAATACTCTTAATTATGTTACAAAGTAGATGAACCCTGAAACATTCCTTTGAATGAAATAAGACAGACAACAAAAGGACAAATGCACAATTCTACTTATGTACACTTTAACTGTGAGTCCCAAAGGAGACTGGAGGACTAAGGGGAGGGGAAACTTGGGGAAATAAGACTTACTAAAATCACTTTTTACAATTTGCAAATGGATAGAGGTAATGATTGTAGAGAAGCATAATGCCTCCGAATTGTATACTTAAGCATGGTAAACTTTATGATATATTTAACAACAATAAAAAATGCACAAATTACAAAAAAAACCTATTAATTACTGAACTCAATATAAGTGATATTCTCGACTTTTTTCTTTTGTTGTTTTTCTTTCTTGAAATGGGTTTTTATTCTGTAGCTCAGGCTGGCAGGCTGGTCTACAATTCATGGCAATCCTCCTCACTCAGTCTCTCAAGTGCTGGGATTATAAGTATAAGCAACCACACCTAGCTAAAACATCATTAAAACAATGCAATCCTCAGTCATATTTTCTACTGAAACATATTACCAAACAACAGAAAGCAAAATTGCTCATTGTCTTACTTCTTCAATTATATTGTTGATTTCGGGTGCTGCTTTATTGGCTCGTTTCTTAATCTGTCTTTTTGCTTTGTTTACATCTTTTTCAACTCTCTTCCAGTCGATCTGCACATAGCCACTGTGACTGGCAACCTGTAAATATGCAATAAAAATGACTATCATCCCAGAAGTAGAAGGCCATTTAGATTTCCCGGAATTCACGGAGCTTCGAAGTAAGAAACTGCTATTGACTCACCAGTTTACTCATTCAAGAGGCACTGAACAGAGAAGACCTAAGTCTCCACTCTTCTTAAGAGTGCTCCTTAGATGCATTGAACACTGGGTTAAGAAAAGTATAGTACAGGCTGGGAAAGATTAAAAAAGCTGTATTATACCTATTATAACTGTTTTCATCCTACCTTTTAGAATAGGAAATCAGCTAAAAAGACATATTATCCAAAGTATATGAATAAAAAAGACCTTTTAATTAAATAGATGTGAAATAGTAGGCAGCTGACAGGTCATTAAGGAAATTTAAAATACCCTGATAACGGCTCTTCACTAGTTCTGAATCTACTTAATTTAAGAAGATAATGTGGAGAAAAGGGAACCTCCATTCACTCTTGGTGGGACTGCAAGTTGATGTAGCCTTTCTGGAAATCAGTATGGAGAATTCTTTAAAAAAAAAAACTGAAAATAATTCTACCAAATAACTCAGCTACACCATTCCTTGGCACATGCCCAAAGTACTTGACATCCTACTTACTGTACAGATACTTGCTCAGCCATCCATGTTCATTGCTACTCTGATCACAATAGTAGGAAACAGAAACAACCTAAAAGTCCTACAACTGACAAATGGATAACAAATACTATTCAGCTGTAAAGAAAAATGAAACAGGGCTGGAGAGATGGCTCAATGGTTAAGAGCACTGACTGATCTTCCAGAGGACCCGGGTTCAATTCCCAGCATTCAAATGGCAGCTCACAACTGTCTGCAACTCCTCTTCCAGGGGATCCAATGCTCTCATACAGACATACATGCAGGCAAAGCACCATGTTCTCTCTCATCTGTGGTTCCTAACTCCAAATCTTTAGGTATGAGTATATGCCCTGGAGTCAATACAGAAACCAGAAAAGGTAAAAAGGGACTATAGACATGGGGTATCCTAGATATAGGAATAGTAGGATAGAAATATGAAAGAGGGAAATGGGGGATGAGGCTTAATTGATTGGCAGGGGGTGAGGTGTTATGGAGTAATCTTTTTGTACACTGTGAAGATGTGTCTTTGCCAAGGTGTCTTTTGATTGGTTTAAGAGCTAACTGGCAATAGCTAGGCAGTAAGAGATTAGGTGGGAGAGTCAAACTGAGAGGACACTGGGAAGAAGGGTGGAGTTACAGGAGTCTGATGAGTCAGAGGAGATGCTGTGAGATGCAGAGCTAGCAGGATGGGAAGTAGGTACATGAGGTAAATGAGTGTCAGGGCAGCATATAGATTAATAGAAATGGGTTAATTTAAGTTACAAGAGCTAACTGAAAATAAGTCTAAGCTATTGAGCAAGCATTTATCATTAATATTAAGTCTCTGTGTGGTTATTTGGGAACCAGCTGCCAAGACACAGAAAAACTCTGCCTACAGCAGGGGCGGGGGGGGGGCGGGGAGGGGGCAATACAGAATGAGGGGCATGAGGAGAGGGGAAAATAGCACTAAAGATGTTTGAAAAAGCCATAAGGAATCATATTAATTTTTCTTCTTACCAAAAATTACATATAAACCAAATTAATGTCTATATATACATATATATACACACATATATGTGTACACACACACACACACACACACACACACACACACACACACACACAGAGTTATGCCACTTGGGCTGACAATACTACCCCAAGAGCCATTGACAGTTAAACAAAAATCTCCAGTACTAGCCATCTTGAGTTGGTCCAGGGAGTCCAATAGATTCCCAAAATAAATAATACACTATTGCTATTGCCTTTGGTTGTCTTCCAGAGATTGAAAGTAAGTATGTATTGCTGAACACACCATGCACTTTAGACAGAGGACTTGGATGATCCAAGCTAGATCTAATCTGAAGTCTCCTCCCTGAGGACTCTAGCTCTCATAGTACCAGAAAAGTACTATACAAAATGCCAAGGGAGGAAAGCAATCAATAGTCCTACCTATCCATTATGCATATGAACCACAACAACAAACAGCATGAGAAGATATCCCCAAAGGCATAATAGTGACACTCATATCTAGGTATTAACCAACAACTATCTATTTGGACTTAAGGCTTCCTCAACAGGAGGGAAAGTATGCCTGGTACTTACTGGAAATCTAGCCAACCACCCAGAATTAGTGAGATCATGGATCTTAGAGGTGAACCTACTATTGCTACTTTCCTTAATCAGCATAATTCTTAACTGCATTCTAAATACTTACCTTGATAATCAGGTAAGTACAGCTTTTAACCCTCATCAAAGCAGCTTTGCTTTGCAGCAGTTGGATATGATTACAAAACAGCCAGACCTGACAGATATATCTCTAACACAACTCCTGCACCTAAGGCTCAGGGGACATCTCAGAATAAAAGGAGAGAGTCTAAGAGCCAGAGAACCAGGAAGTCTGCTGTGAGATCTTGTCTCCTAGAAATAGCAGGGAAGCTACACCCATGAAGTCTCACCAATATGGCTGCTTAAAAAAGGACCACCAACAGTCATGCTACAATGGAGGGGGAACGTCTCACAGAACCCCACCCTAGACATAGAACTACAGGCAACGAATGACCGCTGAAATGGGGAGAATTAGTCAACCCCAGGGAAGAGCCTCTAATTGGTTATCCAGTTCCAAGTTGTCATCCCTGAAACTATATACATACAAGCAACACTAAATGTCTCAGCAGGATGTATTTATATATGTATTCATTTATACATATATGTAATAATAACAGAGAAAAGGAGGCCATGAATTTTGAGAGAGGGGTATACAGAGACAGAGCTGGAGGTAGGAAAGGGAAGGGGAGTAATGATGTAATTATATTTTAATTAAAAAACTTTATAGTAATTGCTTTCCATAATAAATTTCATACTATAAATCCTTTTTATAAAACTATAGCTAAATGCTTATTCATCTTAAGAACCCTAATATGAAATTACTGAGCCACTGCAAAACTAGAACAAGAACAATAACAAGATGTAACTAGTATAATGAAAATATAAATATAAATAAGCAAATAATTGAACTATATATATACTATTATAAACCACTTCTATCAATTTCACGCATTCTTTGTAAATTTTTGTCTATCAATCTCACACATTTTTTGTAGGATTTTAACCACATATAAAATACTTGAAATAACAAAAATATCTGATTTCATATAAAGATTATGACTGGAATCTTAGGTTCTATTTTCTCTGTGACTAACTCCACAACACAATTGGTTTATCTGCAGCTCTTCCTATACTCACTCACCGGCGATCCCATCAGATTCCAGCCTTAAAAAGAGCTGATCAAACTGAGTGGGATATGAAAGCTTTTCCGGTAGAACCTGACACAGTGATGTGGATCCTAGGCATGGCAGTAACAATGAACTTCAGAGAAAGGAGCCTAAGCAATCACACTAGTTGATTACTTTGAAACTTTTGTAGTATTTAACCTTAGGTTGAATTTCAACATATCTTCTTACTGAAATACAAAGATTTCATGCATGTGCATGGATTCTGATGTTGGTTAGAACAGCCAAGATGTTATCCACATTACCACACTCTGACAACGGTCATTTTTCAAGATTCACCATTGTAAGTTACTTTTTTTTTTTTTAAAGTAATAAAACCTTTGTACCATGACTTACGTTGGTGATAAAATAACAAAAAAACAAACAAACAAACCTTAAATTATCTCCTGGAGTTGACTGCTTATCTACTCCAACCCCATAACTGAAAAATGGAGGCCATCTAATCAGACAGATGAAATAAATTCTCACAAATATAATTCTATGTATAAATTTAAAAAACAAAATGTAGGTGCTACCAAAGTCAGTAAATCTAACTAATTTGAGAAAAAAGATTTTGTAGATACTCTGAAAGTAAAGTATCATACAGTTGCAGGGGAAATAAGAAACCTTAAGATACGTAGGACATAAATGTTTCTCTAGGTTTCCCTTCTCCAACACCTCCAAGCAATTCAAGCCTCCTGCACTCTGTCCATACCACAGGTACCCATCCAGTGAGGCCTTGACCACCACAGGTATCCATCCTGCTAGGCCTTGACCACCACAGGTACCCATCCAGCTAGGCCTTAACCACCACAGGTATCCATCCAGCTAGGTCTTGACCACCACAGGTATCCATCCAACTTGGCTTCAAACAGTTGATTTGTTTGCCACTATCTATCTCTCCCAGTGAACTGTGAATCTCTGTGTCCCTAGTCACAAATAGTGTCATGCAAAAAGATGAATGAGAAACACTGAATGAATGATTGTAAAGACAATGAATAAATACTAAATCTCCAAAATTGTATTAATCAACCTGGTTCAAAGAATACTCTAACAAAGAAACTGGGCTAGATTAACCCAAAGGGTCCTATCATGTTTACTAGTGAGAGGATGATTTCCACCTGACATGGATGTGACCTACTACCACTGAAGGAATTTCCTTGAGAAGTTCATCACTCTCTTCTTCCCTTAGAGAGATACCTGTCAAACGGAAGGGGAACAGTCTAAACTGAGCAGCATGCCGCAGTACAATCATCAAGAATGAAGTATCTGTTCCCAGTGAGATTGAAGTACATCTAACCTAATAAGCAAGTGCATCCTCAGAACTGACCATACAGGACCCAGTTTAGTCTTGTTCACATCTAACTTATCCATATAAAGAAATTCAAACCAGCAGACTGGAGAGGAGGTGGAACAATGATGACCACATTTTGAACTACACTCGACTTTCCTACAGCATTTCAATATTTAATGAAATTACATAAAGAAGCTTTATTAGAATAAAAGCTTCCCAGTTAAAAATAAGGAGCTGAGGGTACAGCTCAGTGGTAGACTGCTTGTCTGACGTGTAGGAAGGACATCTTGGATTAGATCCCCAGAACCACAATAATAAAAAATAATTACATGTTAAAAATAGCACCAAG